AGGAGCTGTAGTGTCAGAGGGCTGGTAACCAGAGGGGGTTCACTTGGTAGAGGGCCTTACTGTTGGGGTAGGTAGGTTTTATAGTAAAGGAGTGATGTGGATGAGCAGGGTGTATGGGCTTCCTGTAGAGTGATGTAGCTCATCCGGGTTGGGAGCTTTCTTTAAAGAGAGGTGTGTCTGAACTAGATAAGTTTTTAATAGGGAGTGATGTGAATAGGTTAGGTAAGGGGCTTTCTATAGAGGCGTAATGATGATCAGCTGGATACGCGGTTTGTGTAGAATGAGTGACATGGCTAAGCTGGATAGGGGACTTTCAGTAGAGGAAACGATGTGGATGACCAGGGTAGGATGTATTTCAAAATCTCCGTGTTGAGCAACGTGCCATTTTATTGGGTCTGCAGTTGGAACCGCTTGTGATATTAATCAGGCATCAGCCCACAATATATTGTTTACTGTAGCGGCCATGCTTTCAGTGCATTAAAAAAAACCTTGCCACTGTTTAGTTTTCAAATATGATTTATTTTTCTGTGTATTATTTTACAATAGAGGAATAGGTCACGAAGTTCATTTTATAATTGAAGACTCGGTCTCAAAACATATGGCTGAGCAGGCAGCAAGACTTTCTACAGAAGGAGTTTTGTGACTGAGTAGAGTAGAGGGACTTTTAGATGAGGGCGTGATGCGGCAGAGCTAGGTAGTGTCTGTTCATTGAAGGAGTGATGTGGCTGAACAGGGCAACATGCTTTCTCTAGAGGTAGTGCAAGGTGGAATGGATTTGTATGGAAAGTATTGGTGAAATGGGCATTTAAGGTAACCCTGTTGGGCATAAGTTCAATTCTACAGAAAAAAACTATTTACATAATTCCTTATGATTAGCCTTGCACTTTAAAGACATGTAAATCCACAGAGAAAAGTTTAGGTTTTCCTATTGAGATTTAGAAATCTTTGACATCATCATTAAATTTGCATTCATTGCCCCGGCTATGCCTTCTGTTGGCAGTTGGTCGATATTTACAAACTACTTTTCATTGATAAATTATACACTGGTTTTATTTCAAATATGAGAAATATACTTAGGTTGATTTAAGAGGATAGCTGTGGTGTTTGTGAAAGCATGTGCTATAACACAAAATAGTCTAAACTGTGTATGCTGGAAGAAAAAATATTAATACAATTTAATGTATTCTTCTTTGACCACTGCATTGTGTCTTTAAATGTAGACTTGTTCTCTCATTTGAAAGGAAGGTTATTGTCCAAAAGGGTCGCTTCAATACATTCTGCTTTCAGCTTTTACCAGTGTTTTGTTGTTTTAAATAAACAACAAAAAAACTTTTTAAAATGAGTGTTATATTATGGGCCAGACCGTTGTTTTATCCAAACGTTTCATTTATAGATTTTTTTTTAAGTTGTCAAAATAAATGACCATATGCTTAAGTAGCAGTCAATCCATTTAATGTACAATAAAGAGATTCCCTTACACTTCTGGAAATCTATTGTAAAATGTATTATTTTACAGAATAACACATTACCAGAGTTCACTGTAAGCTGATATTTATGAATATCGAACCGTTCATGAGACACATTATCAGTTCATTATGCCTGATACAATTTATCCTTTCATTGTTGGCAAAGGCACTGGCGATCCATTGCAAAACAGCTTTCAGTCACAATGCATGCTAGGGTAGCATAAAAACTACAAAAGTTCCATTCTAGAAGGCTTTTGTGTGAAGCTCATATATGTTTTACCTTTGTCCTGATTATGTTCTTTTCCAATGAAGTGGTTTCCATCACTTCAGTGCTAGGAAGCTTCCATTCTAATTTTGATGTTTATATTATAGCACAAGCTGCTGTTTCTCTCTCCCAGTAGAGCACGGTTTTTCAAACACCAAGAGGAGACATTGTATATTGATTCAATTCTTGGTGAGAACAAGGACACTGATTTAACTTCTCCTCATTCCTTTGCAGGCCAAAACCATCATCCATTCCTGCCCATAATATTTCAAATTGAAATCTTCTCCAATTCAGTCTGGCCTTCTAATCTGATGATATGATTTCCACACGACCTCCTTTGTGGTTCTACAAACGTTGGCGTCCCTGATGCCTGTAATCCCCATCCCCCGACGTGTTCGGTCATTCCATGGGCCCCATACTACCTGCTTGCATTCCGCTTGTGGCCCTGTAAGGACCACACATTTGGTGCGCACCAAGTACAACAACTTTGACATCTACCTGAAGTCCCGATGGATGTATGGATTTATACGCTTTTTGCTGTACTTCAGCTGCAGTCTTTTCACTTCCATCCTCTGGGTGGCACTCTCTATCTTGTTTTGCCTTCAGTATCTGGGCATCCGAATATTTCTGCGCTTCCAGTACAAACTGTCCATCATCCTTCTGCTGCTAGGACGGAGGCGGGTTGACTTTAGCCTCATGAACGAACTGCTTATTTATGGAATTCATGTAACGATGCTCCTGGTTGGTGGGTTGGGGTGGTGCTTCATGGTCTTTGTAGATATGTAAATTGCTGCATGCCGATGGATAAATCTCTTTGTTGGCAGATGGCGAACGAGTCTGTCATTTGTTACTCTTTTGTTTATCGTTGGAAGAGCAGTTGTTTTTTAATAAAGGCATGTTGTGATATTAGAAGGCATTCAAAGCATGTTCTCCATGGGAGGTGTTAACACCTATATCACTAGTTGGTAAATGGGCAAGTAGCCCCATTCTTCGTCTTCTGTTTCAAGAGATGTTTACTTTCTGGCCATAGTTTCCACTTATGCTGCATTTACCAGTGTCTCCTGTCTTTGTGCCTGTCACACAAATCTGGCATTGTGGCAATATATTATTATTATATTATTTATAAAGCGCCAGCAAAATTCCATAGCTCTGTACAATGGGTTGTCTAACAGACATTTAATTGTAACCAGACAAATAGTTGCACAGGAACAGAGGGGTTGAGGGCCCTGCTCAATGAGCTTACATGCTAGAGGGAGTGGGGTATAGTGATACAAAGGGTATAAGTAGGCGTAATAAAATAGGTTGCTAGTAAAGTATTCACTGGGACCTTAGTAGGCTATTTTTGACAGTTGCAAGAGAGGAGTCACGGAGTGGGGTGGGGGGGAGGAATATCAGCTAACCATTTAAATGTAATGCTTTCCTGAAGAAGTGTGTTTTCAAAGAGTTTTTGAAGGAGTGGAGAATGGGTGAAAGTCTAACGGAAAAGGGAAGGGAGTTCCATAGAAATGGTGCAGCCTATAGAGCACCACCTGTTATCCGTACATTGTAATAGTTTAATTACATGGCATACTCAAGCATTTATCACATGTTTTGGGTGTGTCCTGCTTGGCATTAGGAGAAAGACAGGGGAACATGCAACAGAATTTTAGAAACAATCTTCAAGTAAATATAACCTTTAATGTGTAGGTTTATTGGGATTTCTCACACAGTGTATGGTTTAAAGGGACACTATATACACCCAAACAACTTTAGCTCAATGAAGCAGTTTTAGTGTATAGGTCATGCTCCTGTAGTCTCACTGCTTAATTCTCTGCCATTTATGAGATAAATCTTTGTTTTTGCAGCCCTAGCCACACCTCTCCTGCATGCTCCTTACACGGCCTCCAAAAAAAAAAAATAAGGTTTCATTTTTACAGTACAGTGTGTTTGTTTTAGACGTTTACATAACCTGCTATGTTGATTGATTTTACTCACACGCAGGAGGCTTTTGCAGGCTCTAGCAGGCAAGTAACAGAGCAAGAGAAAGTAAATTCTAAATTAAACACACTGTGCAATAAGGGGAGATAAAGAAGTTAAACTTATTTTTTAGGAAGTGTGTATGGAGCCAGAGTAGATGTGGCTAAGGCTGTATAAACAAAGGTAATTTACTCCTAAATAACAGAATTGAGCAGTGAGACTGCAGGGGTATGAGCTATACACCAAAACTGCTTCATTAAATTAGTTGTTTTTGTTTAGTTTTTTTTGCTTAGTGTCCCTTTAAATGTTATTACTTTCAAATGCACAGTGTGTACATGTTATCACAGATTGCAGCATTGACAAGGTATTTTTTTTTTTTTTCACCCTTCATTTTTATGGATCTTACAGAATATGAAACGGGAGTTCATGGTGACAAGCAAGACCATTTGTGAAGGCAGAGGTACATAATTATAGGTGATGAGATTTGAGTTCTTATTGACCACATCACTGGCAAACAGATTGTAGGTAGGAAATCAGTGGAAGGAACCTTGCTGTGTGGCTCGCTGACGTGTTTTGTTTCAATTCGCCTCCCTAACCTTAGGATTACCAACTCACATTTTAATTTGTAACACTTTGTGACCACATATATCAATTTGTGATGGGAAATTGGAGGATCTTATTTCTCCTCTTGGGGTTATTTACTAAAGTCCTATGCGGACCATGCGGTGACATTCAGACTGCAAAACCGGACATTTCTTCTCGAGATTTTTTAATGCCCGAATACAAGAATTGTAGACTGGATTTCATCCTGCCGTGATGTAACAGAACGGCTAAAATCTGGAACTGAAAACAAAAAATCTGCAGTTGAATGCTTAAATATGATAACGTTCAGGTGTCTGCAAAGTCGGTCCAACCGAATCTGTACAATTCAATTGAGCCAAATTTGCAGGCAGATGGTTTACTATTTTAATTCAGGCTGTTCCTGTAGAAAAAGCTGTAATTGGTACCCCTTTGGTCGCTAGATCCTTAGGAGAAAGCACTAACTCGACAGGGAGGTCCAATATATTTATATTAAAATTTAAATTTATTTATTAAATTGGTATTTGGCCGTTTGGTGGTGTGCAAATATAGATTTCTGTACACCTGCAAATGTAGGTAAATTCTAATTTGCAGATCTGTTCAGAATTAATCCGGTTGAATTCAGCATTTTGATAAAGATGCAAATCCTACATTTATAATGGAAAAAAAAATAGAATTTTGGGTTCAAATAACAGAAATCCAGCTGTGAGGGAATAAAAAAGAGTTATGATCTGGTTATTTTAAACGCAGTTTGTCGATATGGACAGTATTTGATCCTGGGTGAATAACCTTGTCTTGGTACACTTTATTTTCTTTCATTTTTTTCCAAGTCTAAGAAAAACTTTGAGTTTCATCACAGTTTACAGTCTTATTATTAAAAATTTGTTAGAGTAGATATATGACTCTAAATTTTCTCTTAGTGTTTTGCCCATCTTTGTTAGATACAAGACATTGGTTAGGGCTTCCTTTTCTTGCTCCAGTCAATAATACTGTATATAATGATACTATACAAAGTTATTTAATATCATGTATAATTGAAACACTTCCTTGTCTTGTGAGCGCTCACTTCTGAGTTTTGGTTTTGTAGCTAATATGTGTTTGTTTTGCATATGTATCATCTATACATATTTACCAGATGCTTGCTATTCAACATAAATGTTTTGGGGGCGATTTCCCTTTAATTAATCAACAATGTGTAGAAATCTGTGTACTGGGAATTGCTAGGGCAATCCCCAGGTTACTTTCAGCCAAGATGATATGACCTTTATTGTCCTGAGTCACACACATTGTCCTCTCTTCACATCTCTCTATGCACACTGCAATTTAACCGTTTCACCTTACAGGAAGGAGGATGGATTGTGTGTTTGTGTGAAGTTTGTATCACTGTACAAACATTAGGCTTGATCTCACAAGGCACCGCGTGTTACATGATGGAACAAACAACTTTAAAGGATTATCTAGTGATTATTTCACCCTATGTTTTTATTAATACATTAAACGATAATGCCTTAATTATCTAGAATTAAATATATTGTAGTCATATCAATGTGTCCCTTGGTGCATAGCTTAGTGGGTCTGCCCCTTCCTTACATTCCTGGTTTCAAGTGTACACTGCATGTACAATAAGCACAAAATTGACACTGGCATCCAGGAATTAAAGGGACACTCAAGCTTGCTGAAAAGCTTTGTGTGATGTGTGTGTGTCCTTTTTGTAAAATGTAAAAAAGTACAGATTTCAGTAGAAATTTACACTTTTATGAATTAACCTTGTTACACCTCCACGGCTATTAATCCTACAACAGGTCCTGTAACTTCCTGCTGGTTTGGTTGGCTCAGTGGAGTTAAACTTAAAGGACCACTATAGTGCCAGGAAAACATACTAGTTTTCAGGGTCCCTCTCCCGCCCGGCTCTGGAAAGGGGAAAAGGGGTAAAACTTACCTTTTTCCAGCGCTGGGCGGGGAGCTCTCCTCCTCCGATCCTCCTCCTCTCCTCCCCGTCGGCTGAATGCGCACGCGCGGGGAACTGCGTGCGCCTTCAGCCGGTCGCATAGGAAAGCATTTACAATGCTTTCCTATGGACGCTTGCGTGCTCTCACTGTGATTTTCACAGTGAGAAGCACGCAAGCGCCTCTAGCCGCTGTCAATGAGACAGCCACTAGAGGATTAGGGGGAAGGCTTGACCCATTCATAAACATACAGTTTCTCTGAAACTGCTATGTTTATAAAAAAATGGGTTAACCCTAGCTGGACCTGGCACCCAGACCACTTCATTAAGCTGAAGTGGTCTGGGTGTCTAGAGTGGTCCTTTAAGAGGCAGCAATTGCCCAAAGAACCTGCCTTGCAAAGACTTGGTTGGCTGTCTTTTACAGCAGCTGCTTTTTTAATTTATTTTTTAAACTATTCGCTCTTGCAATGGACCACTCCAGGCATGAGTATAGGCTCAGGTTGATGTAAGTATCATATACTTTCCAATTATGCAAAGTGGCTATGGCGCATAGACTGACCTTTTAAGCATGCAGTCCATGTCGACACACACAGTACCTGCAAAGCATATGTACCATAGCAAATTCTTCAATTCAGACTGTACTATATGCATTAATTGATACTGCTATAACCCCATGCTTTGCCTTGTCCATTAGGCTTCATGTGAAGTTTGTGTGTGTGCACACCGTGTAAATACTAATGTTCTTGTCTTGGCTATATGCACAAGTCCAACTGTGAGTACATTTATTCATGAAAAACAATCAGTGCAGCCGTTGGGCAACATCCAGTAAATGGCGTCACCTGTGAAAAAAAAACCCCAAACAATTTATTAAACTATTTTGCAAAGAATTAAGAACCACTTTCCATTAGCTTCTCTAAGTTTTTTTCTGGAAAAAAACACTATTGAACTCTGAACTACAGATTCTAGAAATTTGGAATGGGTTTACTAGATATGTAAGCTCCCAAGGAAAACAATGGGATAGCCTGGATTGGCTAAGAATTGAACTGGATTGCAATGTCAATCTTTAATTTAAATCTCAATTATACATTATTTTTAGCCTTTATCTCCATACTGCGTGTGGGGTGTGGATTCATTCTGGAGTGCCCCTTTAAAAGTATTTCAACATTTGGCTAGCATTTGTATAGATCTTTTCATAGAAATAAATGAAATCGTTAAAGGAACACTATGGTGTCAGGATCAAAAAAATGAATTTCTGACACTATAGTGGTAAAATAACAGTTTAGATGTCCGGACCCCCTTTTTATTTTAAAAAGGCGTTTAAACTCTCCTTTTTTTTTTTTTTTTCAGCATTGCACTGTTCTTGCAGCCGCTGACCCGACCTCTGTGCCGAGATCAAATTTGATGATCTCAGCCAATCTAATGCTTTCCCACAGCAATGCTTTGGAAGGCTATTGCGCATGTGCAGGAAAACAGTGCCTCAATCAGCATCTCCTCATAGAGATGCATTGAATCAACAACTGCCACTAGAGGTGTTCTTGGGCAGTAATGTAAGCGCACTGCCTTTTCTCTGAAAAGACTGTGTTTACATTAAAAATCTGCAAGGTCAGGATGTAGACAAAAGAACAACTACATTAAGCTGTAGTGTAGATGACTATAGTGGCCTCTTAAAGGACCATTATAGGCACCCAGACCACTTCAGCTTAATGAAGTGGTCTGGGTGCCAGGTCCAGCTAGGATTAACCCTTTTTTCTGTAAACATAGCAGTTTCTGAGAAACTGCTATGTTTATAATAGGGTTAATCCAGCCTCTAGTGGCTGTCTCATTGACAGCCGCTAGAGGGCTTCCGCGCTTCTCACTGTGATTTTCACAGTGAGAAGACGCCAGCGTCCATACGAAAGCATTGATAATGCTTTCCTATGGACTGGCTGAATGCGCGCGCATGCACATTCAGTCGGTGACGGGCGAGGAGGAGGAGAGTTCCCCACCCGGTGTTTTAACCCCTTCCACCCCCTAGAGCCCAGCGGGAGGGGGACCCTGAGGGTGGGGGCACACTCAGGGCACTATAGTGGTCCTTTAAGTATCCTGACTATATATTAAACATTGCTATGAAACATGTTCTGCAGGTTTATAGATAACAAAAAGCCATTCATGAAGAGAAGGCATTCTAATACACCACCCATTACAAGCCATAACCTCCAATGTCTCCATCAAACTCCAATTTCACTAAGCACTTCCCATGATGCTCTCTGCTTCCTTTAGAGCACACCTTTCCTGGTGAAGGACATCTTGCCCAATTACCTCTTCAATGACATCATGGCTTAGCAGTCTGTGCAAATGCTCTCCGTGTTTCCCTGTCCATTACTTTCAAATCTCCGTGTTTCCTCTTGTTACAACTCCCTATCATAACATTTAGATTGTAAGCGCGCAAGTATTTTGTATAAAAGCTAAATTTCAGCTCATGCACAGACCAATATCATAGCAGTGTTCTGTAGTTGTTATGGTGCTTGGAGTGTTCCCTTAAAAGTATAATGAACTCTTGATCACTCACAAAAATAGGTTTAAAAAAAAATAAACCCTACCTACTGCGACATTTCTTTTTGCCGCTAGGCGACATGTTTACCCATGGACCGCAAGCTATTTGCTACATAGCCCCCAAAGTAAGGAACCTAAAGAAGCACTATTACGGCTCCAGGATTTTGTTTAGCCTTGCTCTGATAATTGATCTTAAACGGCTTATTCTCTAAATTGTAAATGGAAAATTGGGTATCAAAATATAGGTCGAAGTAACTGATTTGGGGAAAAAAAAAAACCTTCAACTGCAGTCATGTCTTCTCTATTTTAGTCTGAATTTTGCCATTAGATTTTCAATTTACTACAATTTTGTCTTTTAGTAAATGGACCCCTAAGGGATGTTTTTATGTGTGTTTTTAAAGCGACTGGGTCCTCTTTCTTGTGTTTATTGACCCACTGGTGGTTGCCGGCATGATGTGAATCAAAATAAGTGAGCATCTTACAGCCTCTCCTGTGTTCAATGAGGGAGAGAAAGCGGATTATGGTGTTTGGAGAAAAATGGTTATAGCTGACAACACGTTTCAGGAAACGTCCTCATCAAAATTTGTGATCCTACTTTTATTTTTAAACCCACCTTTGTAAGTAATGTAATAGCTAAAAGGGTGCAGAAAACAATTATTTACGTGCAATAAATACCTCTTTCTTTATTTTCTCAATGGTTTATTGATGCTGCATGATGGGTAATGTCTTACGGTTTCGGCTTTAGATGCTGAGGACTTTTTTTGAATCGCAATAGAACTGCTCAGTGATATGGAACTTGTTACTATATGTAAAGCAAGTTCATGTGTGTTTTATGTAAAACCTGGTGATTTTAACGTGACACAAGGATGGTAAATATAAACTGCCATGGCAGTTACGTTTTCCACCTATGGTCTGTTGAATTATTTTTGCGTGGTCTAGAAATCTTGCGTACAGTTAGCAGTTTTTAATTGTAAATTGGTTTGCATATCTTTCCTCCCGATGAAAGGATTTGGCAATAATAAAAATTGATTGCACTGGATGGCTATCCCAAAAGTGGCTGGAATAAGGTGGGAAAAATAAATTCCCTGGTTTGGTGAGGGGGTGTCTATATCAGAGGTAGGCAACCTTTGGCATTCAAGGTATTATGGACTACATCTCCCTTGATGCTTTGCCCCTGTGCTGGACCACTGAAGGGTGCCTACCTTTGGACTGCAAGAGCTTACAGTGACCTGTTTTTTCTGCCGGATACAGACAGGTACATTCAGTAAGGATTGCTGCCTAAATCCATTATTCATTTCTTGGTTCCCCGAGATAGAAATTAAGATTGTCTGTTTAGGCAGGATGACAAACACTGTGATTTACCGTTCACCAAATTGCACAAATCAATTGCTGTTTGGTTTAATTTCACAGGTTGTTACGAAGTACCACAGTCTTTAGCGAAAGGTTTAACAGTTGTGGCTGACCTGGCAACGTTTCAACCGAATCTGAATCTTCTTCAAGACTGACGGTCGAAAAGTTGCCAAATCAATAATGAGACGGAATAAAGGTCGGCATGGGTTTCACATTGCTGTTTGGGGGACCTTCAGGTGGGGTATTTTTTTTAATTTTTTTTACAAGTTAATGCTTTTCTCTGCACTCATCATATATTGATGGGCAGGACGTATGGTATGCAGAATTAAAATGGTGCAGGCAGGGAATCAAGTCATACATTATTGAATAATCTAGCAGCATCTGAATTCTGCATACTGCAGGGCAGCACTGTTCATACATTGCCCATCAACATAAAGAAATTAGGTGTGTTCAGCAAAACACGGTGGATCCAGCGGCCCTAATAGATATGCTGCCTTTATTATCAGAAGATGTACTGTTAGACATTCATTGCAGTTTGAATTGATTTGCTTGGTGCAGTACATCTCACATCCTGCACATGTATTGGGGCACTGTGTGCTGTTTTCTAAGTGGATAATGTATGCTGGAGTCTCATTTGCATGACTTAGCTGCAGTGGAAACGTATATTGAGGGAATCTTTGGAGAAGCAGGTCTGCTGACTTGTCTGGGATGCGTAGATGCAGCGTTGCAGAATATATTGGTGATTAATAAATACTAAATGATAACCGTGCAATGTTCAGCTAGACAGACAAGAACTGGGGCATCTCCACTAAACCCTTACTTACTATGCAGCAATTCTAAAATATCCCCATATAATAGAAGGGTTTATTTACTAAACCTAGATTTTTGGAGTATTGATGAGGGCCAAATTTTAGGCTACAGTAGTCAAACTGGAGAAATTCTTCATCTCATCTATTTTTCCGGTTTGAGTATTTTTGTCTTAACTTCGCAGTTGCCTTGTCCCTTCACAGCTGTCAGAATGAATATGTTCCCTTTTTAAAATGGGTTTTGTGCTCCATAAACTAACTCAAAGTATCCTGGTTAAAGAACAAAGAAAACTTTGACTTGCCCAGCTGAAATGCCGCCATGCGGTATAACGCCGGCTTTTGTTGTCCCCTCCATTATTTTCGGACTGTTGACATAGCAACAGTGAGATTTTCCACTTATTTCTCAGACAAGACATTGTTTGCACGTTGCCCCGTTCTCTTTTCAAGACAAAGACAAGAGCAAACTTAAGATTGCGAGCGGAGCCTGCTAATGAGGGATTGAGAAATTCATTTCAAACATACACTTAAACAACAAGAATTGATGGCTCCTTGCTGTTCAATCTGCCTTTGTAGGCTAAGCATCATAAGAGGTATAGTTCTACATCAGATGAGGGGTCCTACTTTTGGCTACCATTGATCGAGAGTGTGATTGATTGGCTTTCCTTGATATATATATATATATATATATTTTTTTTGCAGGACTGAAAAGGCCCCCCATATCGAGGTCTCTGCAGCTTCTATGATGTTAGTAACCGTACCTCCTTTTTGTGCTGTTTTTCGATGAAATTATGTCCCATGTCTACATAATGTTTGCGTGTCACTGATGCGTGGGGTTCCTACAATTCAGTATCCAAAATTATTACACGGTATTTGTTAAGAAGTTGCCCCCAGCAGTCACAGGTGGTGACTTTCATCCACAGCTGGACATAGTTGGACAGATATATCTGTTGTGACTGTGGCAGCATATGGGGCCGGACTCTGGGTGTGGAAAAGCTCCTGCTTTTGCCAAACTACTCCAAAAAATAGTTTGGCAAAAATTGACCGACAGTGCTTAAAGCCTACGGCCACCATAAACCACTACAATAAGCTGTAGTGATTAAGGTGCTTGGAGTGTCTCTTTGAAAGCAGTCCCACAAAGGTGCTTTAACCAGAAGAATAAATTATAATAGAAAAATGTAAATAGCAAATTATTCAGTTGCTTTTTTTTTTTTTTAACATATTTTTAAATCCTTTCTAAGACTGTGCATTGCAGTCCTGTCTTCAAGGAGATAAAGATTAGTTAATTAGGTTATGAACACGAGTGTAAAAATAAATAAATTATCTATATATAATAAAAATGAGTCTACGTTGTGCGTGCGTTTTTGTCCTTTCTTTGATCTCTATCACAGCCTGAATATATTTGCCGCTGCTAATACCAGTCTTGAAATTCATTTCTGAGCCATTCATTATATTAGTATGTGCATTGTTCTGTTTTGGAATATTAATGGCTACAGTGAAATGCTAAAGGAATATTCATTAAAAAAATAAAATAAAACTCCTGTGCCAGAAATGATGTCATTTTAGCAGGAACCAGCGCAGTTACAGAGCTCCCTGTGAAAAAATACACTACAATAGATGCCATCAGATGTAATGTTTATTGAGCTTACGGTGGCTAAAGTACTGCTTAGTGTTTTTTTGTGTCTGAGTGGTTCTGTGCGCGAGCCAAAACCAATTGTATAGCAAGGCACATTCTTTCCGTATTATAACAATGTAACAGTACAGTCACCATATGTTAAACTCCCAATCGCATCAGGCTGATGTGACATTGCGTCTCTATAACACTTAAGAGGTTTATTTACAGACAGCAAGGCTGTCGGTAAATATTCCACTATAAGCATTTACAGTACTGGAGGACAGGTAGACAAATGCCATCCCTGCCTCCATTATGAAGGAAACTGCTTCGTAAGGAGCGTAATGTATATTATTATTTACCGTTCTGTATATTCCTATTTTCTTTCATACGTCGATGAGCGCTAACCGGCTGCTTTGAAAGAAAACCTTTGGATAAAGAACCGAGAGAAACTGCCGTGCCTCCTATATGCTTGGATTGAACTAATAAAGCCATTTAAAGTGTCAGTCACATTCATTTTTGGATTCTAGTTTGGCATCCATCAGTATCCATAGTTTCATTATTATTATTTTTTTTTTATAATGCATTTAATACATAGATTTAAGCTCACTGGGCAGAGCCCTCTTCATCTTCCTGTTAACACGTGTTGTTTTCTCTGTTACTTGCTGCTAGTGTGTGTACCCTATTGTTAAATTGTAAAGCGATGCGGAAAATGTACACTCTGTATAAATGATAATTCTCCAATTATTGGTCAAGCTCATTGTTGTCACTTTTTAAAAGAATGTGTTTTGACTGTTTTTTCTTGCTCTAAATACATACAGGATTATTTACTAAAGTGTGATTTCAAAGTGGATTTCAAACTTATAGTGGTACAGTACCCTTCCCCCCCACCTCCCCCTTCTTACCACCTCACCCCCTAAAAATGAGTATTTCATAAAGAGAGAATCTGTATGAAATACTCATATTGACTCTGTTGGTATTTCTCTGAAAGAGTCAAGAGATATACTGAGACCAACGAGAGTTCAACAGAGACATCCGCTCCGCGCTGAAGAAAACTTGCAGAGAGAAGATGGCGGTGCCTGCGAGGTACATGTAAGTAAAACTCCCTAGTTCGGTGTCTCCGCTGAACGCTTCCCAGTCAGATGAATTGATTCAATGTATTTCTATGAGATGACACTGATTGGTGCAGTGCAGTGTTTTGCTGCGCATGTGCAGTAGCCTATGGATCATGTGCAGGAGCCTATGAGATTATTAAGGTTATTGATGTCAGCCATTGAGGCGGGACCTGCCGTGGCAAGACCGACAAAGCCAGGGAGAAAAGGCAAGTTTAATACATTTTTACTGCAATCTGAGGGGGCAAGGGACCTAAACAGTCACTCCAAGACTATAGTGTTTGGAATACATGTTTGTATTCCTATATATAGCGCTCCTTTAATGTTACCCTACGTGGCCTTGCCCACTAGGATGTCTCCTACTGGCTTGGGGTATGTGGGGTTGATCAGACTCCTATGCTATGAGGAATATGTACAATATACCTGTTTACAAGTGACGCAGGGTGAAAAGAGATTGTGATCCTGGCATACATAACACAATCCACTTGTCATCTGTGGCCATGAAGGTATGACAGGCAGATGCTTTGCCTCTGGGGCATGTGGAGATCTCTGTGAATGCATAGTCATGTTGTTGGGGTTGAGTGTATACGTTGGTGCCAACAGTTACAAATTTGCCTTCTTTGCTGGACACCTGCCCACCTCCCGGGACATGTTTGTTAGAACAGGTATATGATGTCAGAACTCGCAGCCCCAGCAGCTTCCATATATCACAGCCCATAGTAGGACCATCCAAAGAGAACTCCACCAGTTTCTTGCACATTCTTTTCTATTTGTCTCCCAGGGTAAAATTTGCCAGCTCTCCTCTGTGTTATATTATAAATGCTTGTTAAATTATCTTCAGGATTCTCCTATTGGAATTTTTACCAGGAGATGGGTTGACACTAAGTGTTTTTCTGCGGTTCCCCTTTCTCATAAATGAGCAACTTTGAGCAGGCATCTTATGCCAATCCATTTATATATGTATGGCCATCAGGCACTTTGCCATCTGATTATTATTATTATTATTTTTTTTAAAGCTTCCTAATCTCAATACAGCTCAGATTAATACATTAGTTTGTCTAATGATAATGGCATGGTCACTCCAAATCTCGTCCCTCCAAGGAATCGCCTTAGTGATAGGGGATCACTGTATTCCAGCCCGGTATTAGTTCCCCTCTTACTGTTGTGGTGTTGACAGAGTTAATCAAATGTAAAATGGATGCAAGGTGGGGGGGATGTCATTCATGCTGTCTTCATCAGAAGCACCTGTGTCTCCCCATAGATCAATATAGAAGAGCAAATCCTCCATTCTACGCATATTTACATATCCCATTATATATAGCTTCTAATCCTCCCTCCCTTGCGTTTGGCACATCAGAGAATATTTAAATTGCATGAATATTTAGCAGAGCCCTGTAATGTTAATGGGAGCCTCTTAAAATGTTAGCAGGCATTGCAGAGCTGAGATTCACAGCCTGTTCTTATTTTATTTTCCCCATTTCATTTCCTTAGGGTATTCAAGAAGCTTTATAATATTCTTACACCGGTGACAAATAGTCCCTCGTAAAGTTTTAGAACATTTTTTTCCGTGGTAATCAAACTAAAAAGCAAGATGTTAAACAGTGCATTATTTTTTAGGTTGCTGCCGTTTTAACCACCAGAGAGTCTTCAGGATGCCTGATAACTAGGCTAAGTCATATTGATTTCTCTAATTGTTACTTTAAAAGGACCTACACATATTGCAGT